ATGTATTAGAAATTAATTCTTATGTACCAAATGTAGTATAAAAATGTTGCTCATTTACAATATTTTATCATCGCAAAAAAATTTAAATCATAAAAGTTAAGTTTCGAGAATACAATTTTCTTCTTTTAAATTTTTATCCTAAATTTACTTTCTTTAGTTTATTTGAGACTCGGCAAACTCCCTCAACAAATTAGTATCAAATATTACTTTTTACAGAAATTACAATGTATTTCAAATTAACATGAAATGCACGTTCTGCTCCGACTAATATGTTCTAAATATTAGAAAACTAAAACCCCCCGTTTGATAAAGTTTTTTGAGATTATAAGTTAGCAGGTTTGATGAAATGTGTGATTAAAAAATAGATTAAAAATTGTATAATGAAATGTGCGAAAAAGAATGTAGCGATAGTCAATTATAATAGAAATAGATGATCTCCTCTCTTAAGTTTTTTTTTTTTTAATACATAAGCCAAAAAGAATGATACTTTTTTATATAAACAGATTAGTTTTTTTGTTGATTAAAATTCTTTTTGCTCGCTGCGAAAAGAAAAAGCATCTACTATTCATAATTCAACGGAAAAAAAATATCAAAAATGGCGTGCAAAAAGTCTAATATGCCCCTCTTGTAGAAATGACCCCATTACCGTACGGTCGAGATGTCATCTACCGTGGAAATAGGGTCACTATAATCATGGGCAGACTCAGCACCTAGCCAGCCGTCGGGAGCTTCAAGTCATTGATGCCGTCCGCGGGGAAGAAATGAAGAAGGCATGTGAATTTTTTTTTCTCATTTCTTAGGGCCTTTTTTAAAAACATTAATGCCTAATGAATTGGGCCAATTTGCAATCCATTAGCCACAAACAAAACCAAATCGAAATGCCCCAATTCCAAAATTTAGAGAATCAGCAGAGGAAAGAGACGACCAGGGGCGATTGACGAATCCACTGCGCTGCGGAGTGCCCCTGCTGCTTTGCCTGTCTGTGAGTTGGTCGTCCACCGAGTTGCCGACTACACCTAGCCTCTCTGCCACTGGCCTTCGCAGTTTCGCTGTTGTGAGTCTGCTCGATTACTCCTCTCTTTTCTTTTTTTGTTTTTGTTGTGTAGTTAATTTTTTTGATTTATTATTTATGTTTTATAAATTTTGTTTTGTGAATTTATGGGAAATGAGAATTTATATTAACTACGAATTACGACTTATAATTTTGAATTTTGAATTGTAATTTGGGAATTTAGGGTTTTAGCCTTTTGGGAATTATATTTTCGACTATTACGATAGTTGATTGTCAACAGTCATCGGTCACGGGTCAACAGTCAACGGTCTCCGCTCTAGCTGAACTACAATGTTGGATTCGCCCCCCGACTATAATGCAGTCGAGATTTCACATACTGTGATGATAGATGCACATAGATCAAGGCCCGCACACTATTTGAGAAGCCATCTTCCTCGAGCAAAAATATCGTCAACATTATTTTGAGAAATCGAAAATTGAAATTTATCCATGTGTTAAAATATCGTCAACAGAATGCCGATGAAGACTATTTCGCAATTACGTGCATGAATGATTAATGTGCATTCATAATCCATAATGAAATACAAAGTAGATAAGTTATGGAGGTGCAAAATATGTGCATAATAAACCATATTGCAATCCATAATGAAACAGCTTAATGAATTAAAGTCTCAACTAGCAATCAAACGCTGGCATACTGCTTTTTAGCGATGAGATCCGACAGTAAAACATGACATAAATTACCGTAAACAATTCAAGAACCCTAATTCGATAGAGTGCGTCTTTCTCTTTGTTCAACCTATAAAATTGCAAATCCACACTGATTAGGATTGGAGAAGAAAGAAGATAAAGAAGTGAAGACAGACATAATGATAAATGTATAGTCTTTATGTTGCAGTGTGTGAAAACCTCTCTTGGTAATAAAATCGAACAAAAACATGGCAGATAGAAATCCTAAAAATATTAATGGTTTAAACCAGTCTAAACATCAAAGCCTGAACAAGAAATCAGGGTTTATATAAAAATATTATATTATTTTTTAAATACTATTTGAATTGAAAAAAAAAAATCATAAAAATGAAACAAAATAAAATACAACAGAAAGATATGGGGCAAGTTTGTGGAATTTGGGGTGGGGACGGTTCCCCGTCCCATTCAGGGCGGGGCAATGACGGAGTGGGTTGGGAACGGAGAATTTTGTCATCCCTCATATCACCATTAAAGTAAATGAGATTTCGCATACAAGCTCAAGGGAATGGAGAGAGTAGCAGCAATTATGGAAAACTTACTATTACTGATCCCATGCAAAGGACAATGGATCCCAATTTCGAGCTGAATTTGCAAACAGTGACACGGCATATCTGTTAGACCTTGAAGCAAGAACTCCATCTGCTGTACAAAACAAACGTGGTATCAGAAATGGAAAAAACTGACGCACATTTGAACCTTCTGATTGATGTTTAAGCACACCCCCTAAAATCCTAGCCAACACTGTTTCTAAAATAAATGTTATTCATCCTTGTAGCTCCAAATCTTATAATGGACCTTTCTACTACAAAGTAGCAGATGTAGATTACTGATCAATCTCAAATAATGGGTTGTCAAAGTTTAAAGGATAAATGTAAAAAAAATCTACTTGGATTAATGAAAAATAGATGAAAATAAGCAAAAAACTTGTCAACTTATTCATTTTATGCACGCATCAAATTTTCCAATGCAGAACTGTGAATCTAGATATAAAATGTAGTTTTCCTTCTTAATCATTCACCTGCTGAAGGAACTGCACAAGTCAAATGGTAATTTACTCGAATGAAACTTTTGCCTGTGTGATGCTTGCAATTCTGCAAAAATACAAATATTGGATAGTCAAACAATTGAAGTAGATATACTTGTAGCATGAACTCAAGGCATAAGTTGAAATTCAGCAATATTTTAGCTGGTTTACATACTACCTTTCTCTAACATGACGAATACCCTCAAGAATCTCCATAGCATGCCGGACCTTAGAATTTTCAGGCTTTTCCTCGCTTTCTAGTATTAAGGCTGAAAACCTCAAAAATGTTAGAAGTTCCATTTGCATTTTGTTTAGCAGTTGATCCAGGTGACACATGAAGTCCTCATATGAGGTTATTTCCTTTCCATTGTGTTCATTGTTAACTTCATTCTGCACATTACGATTGATAGATTCCTCATGATTGTTCTCGACCTTCTCAGAATAAAGCTCCCCTTGACTTGCAGAAACAACTAGCGGTTCTTGATTCTGTACAAATTTTGGGGTATCTGATTCCAAGTCTTGATTTTCATTCGACGTGCTTGAGTTTTCCTCTTTAGAAGATACAATTCGAATGGGACTAGGGGCTTCTTGCTCACTAACTTCAAGATCTAAAGCAACATTTCCAATCAGTTGACCTTCCTTTATTGATATTGCCTGATACCAGAGAGGGATGAAGGATGGTAAAGGAAGAGGATTCTCACCATCTACCTCAGTCCAGAAATGAAAAAGGACTAGTATGGAATAGAAATATATTGAGCGAGCGAGAGTATAATACCTTTAAGCACTACATAATTAATTCATGTCATCTTGTCTTCCCAGCGAACTTCACAAAATTTGTAGCATTTGAAACTAAAATCGACTTCCTTTTAATTAACAGACAAATTTTTTATAGTAATTAGTATTATTACAAAGTCCCTCCCACCTCGCACACGTTGATTAAAAAATATGCAAATCTGTGTTAATTGTTGAACTTAATAAAGCTATTTTCATTTCCCTGTAGCTTATACTTTTCAGCCATCTAAGGTCCTCATAGTCAAAACGAAAAAGATCATTCATACCATATTTGCATATCCTAGTCCTTGTACAACAAATTCATGCAACCATTTTCTTTTATCTATGTACTTAGAGTACAACACAATGAGCAATCTATATCCTCCAAAATTAGATTGTTATGTTCTTATTTCGGGTGAGTTTTAGTGTCACCAAAGCTTCGGAAGAAGTAGTCAATGTTTTGTAATAATGCAGAGACCAAAATGACATGGAGAAAAGTATTGGAATCTCATCATTTTTTTCTTTTTTATAAAATCCCAGCTACAAGTTCCTTGTTTCACTGAATACAAATGAGTAAAAAGTAACATTCGTTTATACCTCATTGAGTTTCATTGCAAGCTCATCAAGAACTTCAATCCGACTCTTTGATTTCTCCATCGCTTGCATAACCTTTTTCTTTTGAAAAAGCAGATCCCGTGCATCATTATCCTTTCCAGTTTGAACACTAATGGAGGCTTGTCGTCGAAGCTTCTCTGCTGCTTCAGACAACCGCATCAGCCTCAATCTTACATTGTTTGCTGAAACAATTTTCATCAGTTCATCATTTATTATGAAATAAATCTGTCCAAAAGCAAATGTTGCCATCAACAAAATANTGTCCAAAAGCAAATGTTGCCATCAACAAAATAGATTCTATTTACCCAAAACCATAAAGCAGGGTTAGTATCTAACTTGAAGCATAAGGAGTTATATTCATCTCCTAAAGCCTGATTTTTTCCATGCCTGATTTTTTCCATTGGTAATTAAACCAAAATATAATACTTTCTTATGTTTGTTTTTCTAGAAACCAACACATTCATCAAATAACTGAATGTAGAATAGAGGACCAATGAGGTTCTTTTCCTACAAGAAGTCCGCAAGCGAATAAATAAAACTATCGACAAACCCAATTAAGGAGGAAAGTCTCGTTAAGTGTCTAAAGTACCACAATCTCTCAGTATCCTTAAGAAAATCCACTTTTGGTAATTCAAGTCTACATCTCTCAGATGCATTCAACTTCCAAAACCATTGCAATTAGACATGAAAGCCAATTAAATTAATCTGTATTAGATAGCACTTATACCCAACTTCAGTCCAAAATTGCTTAAAACCACTCTGACCCTGGGCGGTAAACGAACAAGATAAAATTCCATTGCAATTCCAAAACAATTCCTATCAATAGCTTATATCAAGACTTCATCTATGGCATGATCGTTTTAACCATTCTTAGATGATTGTTCAATATCGTAGACTGCGGAATGACACAACAATAGCCTTTTCATGCAAAAGAACACAATTGACATAGCCAAGTGAAATTTCAAGTCAATACTTATATATCACATATACATTAAAACAATAAACTAGAACAGACCCACCCCACCCCACCCAGCCCTAACCATTTGCATTTTGCCTTTGTCTATAGACTGCATATACCACAGAAACAAAATCTAGGATATCCATTAAAAGTATATACACCTTTTGTATCCGCAAGAAAATTATTCATCATAAATCTAGCATTCCCATTAGAGTGATATACACTGGCAAGAAATTAATACATGTAGCAGGAAGCCCACTAGCTATAAAGAAAATCCCAATTGTTAAAAACCTTATCAGGGCGAATTTTTTTAACTTTCTTCAACTATCCGAAAAACAATTAACCAAAAGCAATAAAGAAACCCCAAAATTAAATATGAAATAGAATTCTATTTTTGACATAATTAAGCAATAAAATTTTTACCTTTGGCTCTTGTGCTTTCAGCTTCTTTGTGAAGAAGATCGAGTTGTTGTCGAAGCTGCTCTGTTTTAATACCAGCTGTAGACGGAGAAGCCAAGCATAGTGTTCGCACGTGACATGGCCTCCATTGAACAAACAAGGATCCACAATTCTGTATCATCTCTCTCAAGAAGACGGGAAACTGACTGGGAATTTGCTGCAGTTTTATTCAATTGGATATCGAATCTTAATATCAACTAAGTCATTATATTTTATATTTGTGTCAATTAGGTTACTGGACTTAAGTTTTGTCTGTAATTTGTCCAATTCTGTCACATTGACTAAAATACGGTGTCAACACGACTAGATGACAAAAATTGAAGTATACTAACACAATTAAGATTTAAGTGAAAGTATAGCTACTTCGAATAAAAATAATCACGTGATTATTACATGATTCAAATATAGTCCTCTGGAACCACACAACTTTATCATACAATGTGCATGTAACATCATTAGGTTTATCATCGTCTTCAACATCTCTCAGTTGTGAAACTAGAGGAAAATCAAAGAAGAAGGCGGCTTAGGCTCGGTGTAAATAGTTTGCAATTCTACGAAAATTTTGTATTGATTTTTTACTTTTCCAAACATCAAAAACTATAGATTGCTATATATAATTCATGGATTTGGATAGTTTGGGCTAATTTGACATTTGTTGGACTTAAATTACTTTTTTTAAGTTATAAAAATTGGTTGGACTTTGTTAGGGCTAATTTGGACATAGTTTTTAATACAAATACGTGCACATTTTAGCTTTTAAGCGATTATCATGCGCACTCATATGCGGGGTGTTTTCAAAACGTCCTGAGCATATGCGTATATACACGCAAGATATTTATTGTTTGAAAATTGAGCTGCGACATTTTCAGAATGATGTGATTTTCAAACCTCAATTTCAAGTGCCTACGCTTTCTGATTTATGACGGGAATTGGTTGCAAGTAGAAGGTCGGAGAGTTACATCATTTTGACTAAATTGATTTGTTTAGTACGACGCTACCGGTTTCAACAACGACTGTGGAGCGAACATTTTCAGTAATGAAACATGTGAAGACGGAAATTCGTAGCAGAATGGATGATGATTTTCTTGCTGATTGTTTAACACTAAACATTGAACGAGAATTTAGTATTAATTTAGATCTAGATTCTATTATAGATGAATTTTATGCTATAAAACATCGTCGGGTACAATTGTAATATGTAACGTTATATTACAATTTTTCTAGTTATATATAAATTTTATTCGTACATTCAATTTTAAAAATTTTTGCCCCCCGTACGGCACATTCCTGGCTCCGCCCCTG